ATCTGAAATGCGAAGCCAGCATGTTACCACCACTGCGCCTGCGCATGTTGGACGCATCTGAATTTTCACGATCGAACAGGCGAATGTGTTCATGCTTCAGCGATGTGGTTGGTGTGCTTGACTTCTCGAACGATGACCCAGTAAACATCCTGGTTGTGAAGATTGATTGACCCGCCTTTCAGGACTTCGCAGTCAGGTAGCGCTACAGACGCTTGATACCCGTGGACAATTTCGAGTTGGACTCGACCAACCAACTACAAACCCATCTTGTCTTTTTAAGCGAGATTTTAGCCTTGCTGGATTGTTGGGTGTAAATTCCTGTTGGACCCAATACCAGTTACATTCGGACGGATTGATGGGTCCAACTGACCAACAAGACGGAGGATATAAAATATGCAAAAAATGTCCAAACCGTTCGGTGATTTTCCTAAATAGCTCGCTCAACTGCTACCTGAAATATTTACAAGTGAAAATAGTGACTTTGATTTTTGTCTTGGAGCATCAAACTAAACATAGCTTACAATGGTTACCTGCTTCCATTTAGCCGACTGGAAACCGAAACCTGAATAGTGAATACGGGTTTCTTTGACCTCTGAGATATGCAAAGGCTTTTTCCCACTCAGCTCTCACAGATCCTGAATATGGCGCATTTCCACGTGATTCACTAAGAGACAGAGGGTAAATTCTCCTCCTCCTCCTCCTCCTCTTCCTCCTCCTCCTCATCATCATCGACAACATGGCATCAGCGTTGAACACTAGTGCTTCGCAACCATACAGTAATGATTTATATGGAATCCTTATTAAGAAGAAAAGAATAAAAGCGGATGAGGAAGGGACTTAGTGCTAGCTTACTACAATCATTCCTAGGTGCATACACTTCCAGATACCCATTCAGGCAATCTGGATAGAAACTGACAACAAGGTCGCCACTGACATCGGTTAGTAGCCATATCTTGCAGCGTCTCAAACCAGGCGCAGTAAGGATCATGCGGTCCCCATCCTGGAAGGCGGGTATTACTGACAGTACTCAAGCGTCTCGTAGTCTCCTTCATGCCCCTCTGCCAGGTCAAGGGTTGGCCACCTCTCTCCTTCCGCCATTCTGAGTTGGGGATGGAAAACAGCACTCTCTTCGGCAAATGATGGTTAGGCATAAGCAACACATGCCCCAATCAACACAGCTTCTGGTGCTGGACACATTCTACAATGCGAGTGCCCGTTGCACAACCGAAAACCCGCTTTCTTCGTTGCGGATTCGCTGACATCAGCCCACACCAGCTATGGTCCTGAGACAACTATTGTCGAACGCCAGAAAACTTCTCAGTTCCGCTGCTCTTACAGGCCGAGTCTCAGCCGTACTACAAAACAGACCGCACTTTAACGTGATGCACACGTCTCTCAAGATTCAGGGATATACCGCTCTTACGTCGTAGGTGTCTCAAATTAGCAAACGCAACCCGAGCCTTGCAGATTCGTGCATTCACCTCATCTGTCATACTACAGTCAGAACTAATACAACTTCCAAGATACGTAAGACGCTCCACAACCTCCAGTACCTCTCCCTGGATCGTAAGTGGCGTGTTCGGTGACTGCATGTCCAGGAGCATGACAATGTGTATACAAAGTGTATACCGAAAAATGGGATGACTTTGGTCAGTTATTATAAAAACACCCGCATTCTTCTCCTCTTCGAAGACGAGAACGATGTCATCTGCATATTCTAGATTGATAAGGTTTTCATCGAATGTTATTTGAACGCCGGGGTTTCGAAAAACTAGCGTTCGTCTCGTTGTCTCATCTATCCCGAAATTAACTATAAATAAAGAGTGAGCATTCGTGGTGGACACCGTTTTATGTACGGAAGCTTTTGGAGAGCTCTGTATGCTCTCACACGTCCGGAAGTCTGGAAATGCAAAGAGCTTATAAGATTCACGGATTTCCGGGGCATTCCTTGATAAGGAAGCTTATCAAGGTGAACAGACCGGCCAGTGGCGTCGAATGCGCCTTGGAAATCCAGGAATACTAGAGTTGAGGTTCGTTTGTAAGGGTGACGCTGTCCCAGCACCTGACAGAGTGTGAAGCTTTGGTCAACGCAATCCCTACCAGGCCGGCATCCTGGTTTCTCCTCTCGAGTCAGTGTTTCATGAGCCACCTCAAGGGACAAACACCGGTGACGCCATCAACTTCGCTACGGCCTGGGTCAAGCTGACACACGTGTGGTTACCACACTTAGTATTAGCCCCTTTTTAAAATAGGCACTACCACCGACTCCCTAGTTTTCTGACACAGCTTTCCTAAATGCGGGCAAACAGATCGGATAAGCACTGACTGAGGACGCCATCCCCATCTTTGAACAAAGCGGGTGAGAGGTCGTCCGAACTAGAAACTCTGTGGCACTTGATAGAACATATGCAGCCACGAACCTTCGAGGCCTGAAGGGGTTCTACACTCACCGTCCATGTTCTAAATCAATTGTGGGCTCCAGATGGTGGCAGCTGGTGGTTACGATAACTGTATTCGGCCTGCGGGTCGAGACATTCTTCTTTATTCAAGATGGTTGTTTCATTCTGATCCTTGATGTTTTCACTCGTGAGGTTTCCAGGGACCTGTCGCACGAATTAGCTGAAATAATCTCCGAGGATTCTCGGCTTTCTGGACCTACTTTATTTCCTCGGCTTTCCGTGTCCACTAGACTTCACGGCCGGCCTGATGATCCGTCTGATCGACTTATTTTCGGGACTGACTGGGATTTTCCCCCAGACTTAAGTAGTGTCACTGTTCGGTCTGATATCCAGTTCTTGAGTGGGTCTGTTGGTACGGTGCCACAGGTGAAACTCCCAGCACTGTGCAGAGAACTGGCGGTATCATCCCAGTATGTATTCACATCTGGTACATTCGTCTGACATCCAGATCTTCAAGTCTCTCAGTTGCCAAGCGATTTGTCCGCCTCTTAGGTGGCCCTGGTAAACGAAGGGAGAAGCAACTCCGAACGAACGAGTAGTCGGAATCTACAAATACGTCCCAAAACGAGCGACAGTTACTTATTGAACGACGTCATTGTTAGTTGATGGCGGTTCGATCAATTTGAGTTCGTAGACGGCACGCCATTAGAGGACACCATGTGGCTAGACGATTTGGGCTATTTTGGAAGTTAGTACTGCATAGAAACAGTCTGCGTCAGAACACAGCTGAAGCAGTCGTTCACCATCGTCCATACCTACCGAGTCCACCGACCACATAATTGAGCTTCAATTGCGCTAAGCCTGGACACTTGTTCATCCCGATCTCTGGCAACCACAACGATATCTGAGCTTTTAGCTTGCCGCAAAAAGGCATTCAGGGCGTCATAAAACATTGTGTTTGAATATGTCTGAGTCACAATCAGGGGGAGGGGGCGTAAGCAGACACGACAAACAGACAGCGGTCAATTTCCAGATTGTGAGACTTTCACAGACCTTGCCAGGTGAACTGCACAGAGGCTACTATTAACGGGTATCCAGTCTAGCAAGGATCCCTCCAACCCCTGCACATCTTGCTGTAACAGCCTCTGTACCGCCAGAAATGCACAGCCGGAAGCGAATGGAGAGTGACGGGGTGGTTAGCTCAACCGCAATGCTAGCATCTTCAATTCTTTTTTCAATGTCCAGCGATTCCAGTGTGAGAGCAAGAGCAGCTTGTTGACCTGCTAGCTTCAGGGTACAAACAGTGAAGGCAATCAAATAAAAAAGCAGTCGAGACTTGAAGATTGATTTCGATGCCTGAGTGTGTTGGCGCTTGGTGACCCGCAGTTGCGTGCGAACCGATGCAGGACGAACGGATTCATCAATCCTAACTGTTGGGCCCACACGGAGAGATCTGTTAATGGTGTGAGTGGAAGGGAAGAGAAAGAAGGGAGGCGTCAAAAGTAGCCTCTTTTCGCCTACCTGGCGTGCTATATGCAGCTAGTAAGGTGACCCGCCTGGTGGCACCACGCGACGACCGATGTAGCATGAGTTCGTTTGTATGTGTGCAGTTCATGGTTGTACGTGGGCTGGGATACTTCCATGACGCTCAGACCTAGGACGACTGGGGCTAATGACCAAAACCTTCGGCTCAAAAGCCTAGCCGCAAGGCAGCGATGTTTGGCGGGGAATGCAAGTGAATTTCAATTTTTACGGGACAGTTCGCCACACATGTTCCAATCCTCAACTTGGAGGACCAGGAAAATGTGTTCTTTAGACCTGTGACCATTGACCAGTGTGAAATGAGAGACTCTGTGACTGTCGCGCGGACACTCCCAGTATAGCTCAATGGGTCAGGGAGGTACACAAACCGTCGCACCACGGTAAGTTCCAGACTCTTCGTGCGGAGGGTAAATCCGACTTGTATGTCTACCCCGCATACTTCGCTGTGTGTGACCGAATTGCGACCAACTGGGGTAATGGATTTTACGGTTGGTTGCAGCAAGAAACCCACCTGGTATTGTGAACACTGAGCGTCAATAATGAATACTGCTAACCTTTTCCCACCTTAGCAGGCAATTAAACTTGCTAACCTCAATAATTTGCTATAAATGCTCATTTTTAGCCGTTTGGAGATTCAGTTCAGTTAAGCGTAAATTTTTTTACCATGCACCATGTGCTCATCACCTCTACTAAACTTTAAGGCTGTGTTACTTTTGTTAAATTAGCCTTTTATGTATTCAGATAGAATACATATCGCCCACGATTTTCAAAGATGCATCAGATTCAGTTTCATTATTTGATGTATTTTATGGTCCGGGCTTGTTTCAAGAAAGGCACCCGGGAATTGCTGGACATTTCACTTTATTACATCATTCATCTCATATCAAATGAATTCTGCGTGCGACTCGCAATAAGGAATCACTGGTGTCCCATTAGTTTTCTATGGTACGAGTACACCGGAACACCGAAAGTAGCCGGTTGGCGTCCTTGGTGATGTACGACTTACTTTCGCAGTACAACCAGTAAACATGCACCTTTTTGTTTTCTCTCCACTCTCAGAGACGCAAAACTACGCCCTTTCTGTACGGCACTATGATCAGGAAAGAAATATCTATGTGGTCAAACACTATCGGATTCGTGTGCTAGATAATGACAACGGATATTTTATCAGCAACCGGATTACTTTCCCGAACATAAAGGACCTTATAAGTTATTATTCAAGTGGGTTCGCTTTCTTTTTTGGGTGTATGTGTTTAATGTGGATATCTTGGATAGAGATTTCGAACTTTTTGGGATGTTACATGACTCTCAACCTGTTTAATAACGGCAACTGCTAGATTAAAAAATAGCGGTTTTTAAAAACCTAGCATGTAGCCTTGAAATTTTTTATTTTTTATGAGGCTAAATTATGGTCTTATCTTGGAAATGTGGATGCCACAACCATTGAGTCAATAATGACCAGTGGATGCCACAACCATTGAGTCAATTAATGACCAGAATTCACTGCGGCTATGTAAGATGCCCATTACAAGACACGACGAATAAAAACACTGACATGCTTGTCTGATCGCACAAAATTTTCCTCAGATTTTTCGGAGCCCAGAACGTTGAAATGAATCATCCTCGCGTAGCCTGTGAGTGATTACGTTCATGCTTCCAGTTGCTCACTCGAGCATCCTGAAATGTTTTATAGCTACCAATGAAAGTAATAAATCATTGGTAGGTGAATGTGTTTGAAAACGGGGACATTCTGAACAACGTCGGAGTCTATAAAAACTTCGAGAGCTGGCCGATCCCCAGCTGGGATCCAATGGAGAACAGATATTCAAGGATGAAGACCCCGGCAAATGTAGCCCTATGGACTACTTGTTCAGCCATTTTTCCGCGATAGTCTGTTCGTATTTTTTATTCATTTATTTGTTAGTTACTTACCATGTTTGATTTGCGATTACCCTAGGATTACCTGTTGTCAGGCCCAATGGCACGGTGAAATGTCAGAAATCCAGTACTTTGATAGAATTGCCCGTATTATTACTTCAGCGCAACGCCTAGACTCTGGAAATTTATTTACGTACTGGGAGCAACTAGGAGACATCACAGGAGACGGTTCTGGCAGCTTTGCTTTACCTTAATATACGGGACCTTTTCGATAGCTAGGCGAGGCACATGTGTGTTGCGTGCCCTTGAGACGCAAGAAAAGCAGCAACGAAAAAATGATTGATTCACGAAAATCGGCGTGGTCGCTTCGTTCGTAGGCAGTAGACACATTGCATCCAAGAGATTTAGGTTGTTCTAAAGCCCATCCGAAGACACCTACGCACCTGGGCCTAAGCCGTGCTAAGCACGTACTTTCGTATTCACATATCAGGCAACTACAGCGGCATCTGGGATTTTATCTCGTCGTAATTAAACACAAAGCCTCCTAAAAGCTTCATCATCATCATCATCATCAGGATGACATCAGTGTTCAACACCGATGCTTCAATGCCGTACAACCATGACTTATTTGAAAGCTTTATTGTAAAGAAAAGAATAAAGGTGGATGGGGGAGGGACTTA